CAACATTTTTTTAGTGCAATGTACATTTTTTAGTTAAACAAATAATCTTTTATAAAGTTTAAATATTTTTAAAATAAAAAATATTTATTTAATGTAATATAAATATTAACTTGTTTTACTAATGACTTATATCAACAAAATTATAATTTAAATATTATAAACGATTAAATATTCATACCAACAGTTTAGACTTTAAATTATGAATATTGTAAACTATACAAACATTGAACTATACAAAATGTGCATATAATTATTGAAATGATTGTATAATTAAAATAGTTTATGAATTTAATTTTAAAAATTATTAGTATAATAATAATAATAATATTTTTATTATTCATAAATATTATTTGGAAATAATACATGAACAATTTTTTATGATCCATGAATTTCTAAAATAACACGAATAGGTTTAATGATACAACATTTTTTTAATTATGAATATTTCTAAAAGATGCACATTTTTTGAATTATGAATATTTTAAAAATTATTTCTGTTATTTTTATACAAATATTTTTATAATTTATAAGTATTATTTAAGAATAATACATGAACAATAATTGAAAGTTATCTTATTATTGGCATTATAATTTACATACTGTCTACAAATTTTTGTAAAAATAAACAAGTGCAAAATAGGTCGCGTGGACCGCAGACCATTTCTGCTCCATGAGCGTTTCTGTTTTTGTACATTAAATGTAGTTATCCATAATGGTTCTGTACATACATGTGGTGCAGTGGCTGGGACGTGCATTGTTCTAGCATTAGGTCGAGGGTTTGAGACCTGGTCGTCATACTTTTTTCGGATAAATTATCGCTCATCCTGAGAGTTAGGTCCCATCAGTGGTTGACTTTTTTTGCACAAAAAGAAAAAGAAGCAAGGGTTTTGTGCAATAACGCGTCCATGTGTCATTGACAGTGGGCCGTGCCATGCTGGCGTAGATGGATACACCCGCGTACGGGGAGGGTGACTGTATTTGAACGGTCTCACAAGTTTAGTGACTACAAACACGTATTTTGCAACTTTGTGCACCAAAGTAACCATTGCGCGCAAGTTCTATGACCCGTGGTGTATTTACCTCAATAAAAAAATAAACAAAGCCTTGTCATGTGGAGAATTTCACAAGTATTCCATGCATATTCCAAAATGAAATTAAAATATACTAGGTCTGCTCTGCTTAGGTAATCAGCGGTTGCGGCAAAACACATAAGGTCAATTTGAACCAATTTACCGAAAAAGGCTTTCGCCCCGCTTTATAAATAAAGCAAAAATTTGAACCAATTTCAGTTTCCAAACCACTATCGAATAACCAACAAGTATAATCAGGAGGAAATACGCCCGAATTGGATGAAAGCCTTATAGTCCAATAGCACTCAAGTATGTTTCCCACCTCACTAGCTGATCTTTAAGTCTGCCCCTATGTAATCGTGAGTTCTCTGCCAGCCACAGGAATATCTTCAAACCGATTAAATCAAACCAAAACATCGTTGCAATTTGCGAACACTCAAAATCTGTTCAAATTTTATACCACCTAGCAATATTTTTCGAAATTAGCAAGATATGTTTCAGACCAACTTTATTTTCAAAATATAGGCATACAAGCTACCTCACAGTACATTGTCGGCATTTGGCACATTAATGAAAATAAATACCAAAACGGAATGATTTCACAATAAATCAACCTCTAGAATGCATTTTGTTGGGTTTTGAGTCCCCAATGGGACTCCGGCGGGGATGAAATCAAGATTCATGTTCTGTTTTGAATTACAGACACTAAAAAAATCAACTAATGTCGACTACAAATCTCAATAGAATGCTCAATAATTGTGATCTGCAGATCTTTATGTTTTGGCATATACGCCATTGCATAGCAGGTGGCCTCAGAGCCTAGCGACAGGTTATATAACTAAAAAGATTATAAGTTATGGAACTTTTTAATTCAACTAGAGATTTTTTTTTCCTATGTGAAAATACCAGTATTCTATCAGGGTGGAATATGCAAAATACATTAATTTATTTGTTTACAAAAGTCAACCTGAAAAAATAGATTTGGTTGAGTCCACTAGCAATACCATACTTGTATAATCTGGTAACTGATGAGAACACACCACAATCAAATTCTGCAACACTGCATTGAGAAATACTGAAGAATAATTTACCCTTGGGGAACCAGCGGATGCACAGAGCCGTTATGCTGCTCACATCAACTATCACATGAGGGAATATGCCTGCAAGCTGTGGCATATACTCCTAGATATAAAAAACACAGGTGTCAGCAAAAAAGTTGCAAAGTAAAACTGAAGTCCTACTCAATCCACATGCAAGGATACTGGACTATTTTTTCACAATAATATCTACTGGAGACTAAATAAATGTATTTTTTATCGACAGTTAAATAATGTATTCGGTATATGTACAAATCAGGAGCATCAATCGTAATAAATATGCCAAACAATCTAAAGGTCACCTGAAACATCTAGAGAAGTGAGGACATGATAAGATTGTATGAACCATTTCATTTTTAGCAGATAGCTAAGGGAGTTTTTTTCTCTTGCTAACCTTCAAAAATAGTAAATCTGTATAGATAGAATTCCCAGCAATCAATGGAGTCGCCGAACCAATATACCTCCTAACAAAGTCTAGCACCTGAAAATAGCTAACACAAGAAAATTTTCATTACGGTGGATAAAGAAACATCAAAGAAGCAGATAAGGACATTTCCGAGAAATATAATACTGGCAATAATTAGAAGGGAACAACAAAATACTTGTACACAATAGACTAGCAGCATGCCAGCATCACACGCTAGTATTGACCAAGGCAAGCAGAGCAGCAACTAGTGCCTAATCACTGGCAGGATAAATCGGATAGGCGGGTGACGCGGCATGGAGTTGCCTAGCACCACCTAGGCGGTTAACTTTGAGAACACACATGCACAGAGAACAACCCAGTGTAACACTAAACATATAATAAAAAGGGCAGCCCGGTGCATGTAGCTCCCGCTTGCGGAGGGTCCGGGAAAGGGTCCGACCGCTTCGGGTCTATTGTACGCAGCCTTTCCCTAACACTAAACATATAATCTAGGAAAAAATTGGTGTAGGAATTACAAAATAATGCATTTTGTTTGAAATAAACAAATGAACAGTCGTGTTAGAAGGTTTCCTTTAACTAGGGATGTTGGGAAGGTAGGCAAACACATACTCCCTCAGTTCCTAAGATATAAGGTGTACAAATCTTTGAGAAAAAGTTCAGATTATATGGTGTATTGCATTAGTTGACAATTTGACCCTTCCACTAGCTACAGTGTGCATTACCTTCTAGAAAAAAGGAGATGGCACAGCACATCCCGTCTGTTTTGTGCATGCGTGTAGGTTAGTTAGGAAAGATTAGACATGGTGCATATCCAGCCGGCCTTAGTTTTAGGGGAAAAAAGAAATCTTGTTCCATTTTCTTCTTCTTTCAATCGTGTGAACATATTCGGCCATCTCTCTTCCTATGGAGAATCAACATGGCAAGGACGCGAACTCCCATCCCATGGAGACGGCCACCTCTCATCCCATGCAGCCGGCGACCTCCCTTCTCAACGACAAGGAGATCAAGCCGGCAGACTCCGTTTCCATAGACAAGGAGGAGGTAAAGCCTATGACCTCAGTTCCATTGGACAAAGATCAGATGAAGCTGGCGACTGTGCCATGCTTCATGTGTCTTCAAGTGCCCAGGACAACGAACGACTTAGTAATGAATTGGCTCACGGACATGGCTTCCTACAAGTGCTCCGGCTGCGGCGAGACTCAAGTTTTGTTCGAGACGCACTCAAAAGAATTTTCAAGGAGCAGCTCCGAGTATAAAGGCAGCAACAATGAAGACAATGACAGCGGCTCAGATGCTGGATTGAAGATTAGAGAGTTTGTGAAAAGCAAGTACGAGACACCAAACATGTAAGAGTTGATCGGTAGCATGATTTTTTTTGTCATACCTCCACTTTGAATGTGTTCCCGATGTACTCGATGCCGGTTCGAGCATTAATAAAGTTTTTGTCGTACTCGATGTGTGAGCCGGATGTATTCATACAATTTCACAAGACTTTGAGGATGCACATGTTAATGAGCATACACTTATTTATGCCATTGAATAAATTAAATGTGTTGTTCACCATGGTATTAGGAGCACTACTCATGCTACCGATCAACTCTTAAATGGCTGACGCCCCATACTTGCTTTTCACAAACTCTCTAATCAAAATCGGCATATGCCCCCCCCCCCCGCGTCGCTCCTGAGCTGGGCGACCCGGGGGCGCAAAACCTAGCGCCGCCGCCGGCCCTCCCGCTCAGCCGCCTCCTCGCCGCCGCCGCCGCCGGCTTAGGCCGCGATGGTGGCGGCCCCCCTGTTCCGAAACGGAAAGGGGCCATCCGGCTGGTCCCGTGCGACCAGCGGACGTCTGGATCTGGGGCGGCGGCCCTGTGAGCTCTTCGGACGTCGACGGCCGGTCGTGGCCACGAGGGTGGCGCGTCGGCCGGATGTGGCGAGTTGGAGCTCTGCTGCGGTCGAAGGGTGGCGTCTTCAAGGCTCGGACGACTCCCGCGGCCCGTCCTCCTGGCAGCGCTCTGCGACCTGGTGCGGTCGCGCCGGCTTGCCTTGCTGAGCTCGCGCGCGGTGCTCCTGGGGCGCCGCCGCTCAGCTTTGCAGCTACCATTCTGCAGTCTCTCCGTTTGCCAGCTCTTGCCTCCCTCTTCATCGTCTTCCCGCATTTCCAAATCGCACTCCCCCCTCGACCACCTCCTTGCGCCAGTGCTGATGGCCTGCAGCGGCACTGTGGGCGCCGAGACCTGTGGAGGCCTGCGACGCGCTCGTCGTCTCGTGCTGGTCGTCCCGGCAGACAGCGATGCTCAGTGGTATCCGGTGGCGGCGATTTTGGGCCTCCCCTGCCCAGATCCAGTCCTCGGTGTGCCGCCAACCGGCGCCTTTGTGGGCTAGAGGAGTTGTGCCGGCTCTGGCTGTGGATTGGTGAGGCTGAATCGGGTCTGTGCGGCGGTGCTCTAGGAGAAATCCCTGCTCACTTTGTGTGAGCTGACCACGACGGCGCCACCACGGCGTCATACACCTTTTTAGAGGCGTGGTCTTCGAGCTCTGGATCTGCTTCGGCATGGTACATGCCGTCTTACTGTAGGATGTGCTCAAACTTTAGGTGAGAACCTTGCTTCGACTATGTTGATGCCGACGGCAATGGCGTCTATGGACGTCGTCTTCCTCGCAGGAGGTGCCGCCGTGGAGCTCCAGCACCTATGGTACTTTGCTTTGTGGTCACCGGGTGAAAACCTAAGATCGGGCTCGCCGGATCGGATGATGGTGTTGTGTCTTCGACAGCACTACCTCCTTGGAGGCGTCATCTTGGAGGCCCAAACAACGGCTCCTGTTGCCGCGCGTGGTTGAGGGTGGTGCGTTTGGTGGCGGTGGTGCGGCCAGCTTGGGGCCGACGGTGGTGTGCTTTCTTCTTCATGTGTTTCTCTTCGGTTGTCCTTCACGTGGTCTCTGTCCTATTGTGCATGCTCAAGACCCTCCCATGGTTGCCGTTGTGCTGTGGCGAGCTTCGGGCTCTTGGTGTTGTCTTGATTCACCTTTGCTCAATGATGACGCCATGATGCCTCCCCAACTTGCTAATCGTTTCGACCGCCCGTGGCGGATCTCCCAGTCAAGGTTCGTGTTAAGGTATGACACTCGTTGATTATGGATGATCCTCTGTTGTGCCGTGGGGCTCGGTATGCACGCTGGTGCAGTGCATTAGGTTGTTTGCAGAGTCTTGATATTGTGATCCCTCGACAGCACCCCACATCTACATGTGTCTCTCGTGGTGTTTGTCTTTCTGCCTGCTAGTTAGGTCATGCCTTCTCCTGGGTGGCAATTTTTTTCCTCATCTTCTGTAACCTTGTTACATGTACGGTTTTCGGCCCGGTTTCCCTCATAAACAGGTCAACTTGTTTAGGTTTTTGATCCGGTTTCCCTTATAAACTGGATCAACCAAAGTTTAAGGGGTGACTCTTGGCTTTGGCAGCTTTTTGAGCAATATATTCAGGTGGGGATCCTCTCCCCCCCGGTGACCGTTCAAAAAAAACTCTCTAATCTTCAATCCGACGTCCGGGTCGCTGCCATTATCTTTATCATCTCTACCTTTATACTCGGAGCTGCTCCTTGAAAACTCTTTTAAGGGCGGCTCGAACAAAACTCGAGTCTCGCCGCAGCCGAAACACTTGTAGGAAGCCAAGTCCGTGAGCCAATTCATCACTAAGTCGTTCGTTGTTTCGGTCACTTGAAGACACATTAAGCATGGCACAATCGCCGGCTTCATCTGATCTTTGTTCAATGGAACCGAGTTCATAGGTTTTACCTCCTCCCGGTCCATGAGAATGGAGTCTGTCGGCTTGATCTCTTAGTTGAGAAGGGAGGTGGCCGGCTGCATGCGATGAGAGGTGGCCAGCTCCATGGGATGGGAGTTCACGTCCTTGCTGTGTTGATTCTCCATGCAAACAAAGTACAAGAGACTGACGGATATGTTCACACGAACGAAGGAAGAAAAAGATGGAACAAGGTTTCTTTTTCCCTAAAACTAAGGGCCGGCTGGATATGCACCATGTCTAATCTTTCTTTCATAACTAACCTACATGCATGCACAAAACAGACGGGATGGGCTGTGGCATCTCCTTTTTTCTAGGAAGGTGATGCGTGTTGGCTGTAGCTAGTGAAAGGGTAAAATTGTCAACTAATCCAATACACCATATATTAACAGTACCTATTAACAGTACCTATTAACAATCCAATACACCACATTCTACTAATCCAATACACCATATCTTAACTTTTTCTCAAAAATCTATACACCTTATATCTAGGAACGGAGGGAGTACATATTAACAATACCTATTAGCAATTTTCTTTCCAAGGTTTCAAGTAGAATGTGCTTTAATTATATGAGCCCTTTCAAAGAGGTCAGGCTACCGAAAAAAGGACTAAAATACCTGTTTCTCAGCATCACACTCAGAAATGTCACTCTGCAATACTTGTTCTGTCAGTCCTAAAGTGGTCACAAGAGCAAAAGATTAAATTAGCAAGTCCTAAATTGGTTACACGAGCAAGAGATTATATTGACATGTCACTTTTTAATACTATAAGGTATTTACCACTGGCACCATGATGGGTTTTACACCATTCATTCATGTTGTCTAAGCATTCCTTGCTCTGTCTTATAACCAAATCAGGACCCTGCAAAAGAAGGTAATAATAGCTATGTTGAGCACTATGTCTTGCGATGTCATACAAACAGCGACAAAGAAATGACAAAGCAACAAATTGCCGCCGTAACCTCAGATGCCCAAACACAATGTAAGTATGACATAAGTACATAGCCAGAGTCAGTGGTGATTGTTTTACAGGGTGAATTTGCCAAACAACATGATCATTTAAGGTTGCAAGGGGATTCTTAGAATAAGAAAAGATTATGCAAAGTAAACATCAGAAGCTGATGGCATATCAGTTCGCTACTGTAACACCCTCGATGCGACTATAGCTTCCACGTGTCGAGGCACGACTTAGAGACATAATCGCATTGAAGGCATATGTCGTAAGTTAGGCAATCTTCACAACATCCCATGTAATATGAACAATAAAGGGGAGATAACATAGTTGGCTTACACTCATCACGTCAATCAAGTACATAAATAACATTACATCATCCAAACACTCATGGCCCGACTACGGCGCCAAAATAAAAGAGAACCCAACATGCGACACGGTCCCGATCACCCCCAACTGGGCACCACTACTGATCATCGGGAAAAAAAACATAGTAACATTGAGAGTCCTCGTCGAACTCCCACTTGAGCTCAAGCGCGTCTCCTGGAGCGAAATCATCAGGCCCTGCATCTGGTGTAATAGTAATCTATGAGCCACAAGGACTCAGCAATCTCGCACCCTCGCGATCAAGACCATTTAAGCTTATAGATAAGGCAAGGTAAAAATATATATGTGGAGCTGCAGCAAGCGACTAGCAAATAGAGTGACCAACTTATTCGCAAAAGAGAGCGAGAAGAGGAGGCAAAGCGCGAGCGAGAAACTAGAGAACCACCTGCGCAAACATTACTCCAACACCGTGTCCGCTTCCCGAACTCCACCGAGAAGAGGCCATCACAGTAACACACTCAGTTGATTCATTTTATGTAGTTAAGGTTCAAGTTATCTACAACCGGACATTAACAAATTCCCATCTGCCCATAACCGCAGGCACGGCTTTCGAAAGTTCAAATCCCTGCAGGAGAGTCCCAACTTAGCCCATGACAAGCTCTCACGGTCAACGAAGGAATAGACCTCCTCCCCAAGACGTTCCGATCAGAATCGGTATCTCGGTTCTTCAAGACACTTCGACAGGTTAAAACAAGACCAGCAACACCGCCCGAATATGCCGACAAATCCCGATAGGAACTGCACATATCTCGTTCTCAGGGCACACTCAGATGAGACTAGCTACGAGTAAAACCAACCCTCAAGTTTCCCCGAGGTGGCCCCGCGGGCAGCTCAGTTCGGACCAACACTTAGAGGAGCACTGGCACGGGGAGGGAGGGGGTTTAAATAAGATGACCCTCGGGCTCCGGAAACCCAAGGGAAAAAGAGGCTAGGTGGCGAATGGTAAAACCAAGGTTGGACATTGCTGAAAAAGTTTTAATCAAGGCGAACTATCAAGGGGTTCCCATTATAACCCAACCGTGTAAGAAACGCAAAATCCGAGAACATAACACCGATATGACGGAAACTAGGGCGGCAAGAGTGAAACAAAACACTAGGCGAGAGGCCGAGCCTTCCACCCTTTACCAAGTGTATAGATGCATTAAAATAACAAGATAATATAATGATATTCCAACAAGTAAATAAATGTTCCAACAAGGAACAGCCTCAAATCTTCACCTGCAACTAGCAACGCTATAAGAGGAGTTGAGCAAAGCGATAACATAGCCAAACAACGGTTTGCTAGGATATGATGGGTTAGAGGTTGACATGACAATTTAGGAGGCTTGAAAGCAAGTGGTAGGCATCGTAGCACTGGCATAGCAAAAGAGCGAGCAAACTAGCATAGCAAAGATAGTAGTGATTTCGAGAGTATGATCATCTTGCCTGCACAGTTGTCAGAGTTGACTGGATCCTCGAAAGCAAACTCAACGGGCTCCTCGTTAGCGAACTCGTCTCCCGACTCTACCCAAACAAGACAAACAAGCAACAAGAACACAATCAACCACGTGCAAGAAACAAACAATATAAAGCAATGATGATATGCTATGCAAGATATGACAGGAAATGCAAAAACCTGGCCTCAACTTGGAGATTCAAAGGTGCCATTGGAAAGATAAGATGAAATCGCTTGAAAACGATATAAAGAACGCCGGAATCGGAGTTACGGTTTGGAAATGGCAAGCGATTCAAATATGACACCGGTCTGCGGTTTACAGCAAGTAGCCATCTAAATGCAATGAGATGAACATGCTACAGCACCCAAATATGGCATAAAAATACATGGCAGGGATGCATTCAAGATGCTTAACCAAAGTCTAGCACTGAGCTACGGTCAATTCATCCATTAACAGGTTCAAAAAAGCATGGCAAAAATGCATATGACAAACAGATCTCAGACTTAGTGAAATTAACACTTGTCTGGAATTTCAGATCAGGTAGCACTCTTCGGAACAACAAAACCACATGCTACAGGACCTGAACATGACAAAGAAAAGCATGGCATGGAGCTATTCAAAGAGCTTAACAAAAGTCCCTTAGTGACCTTGAGCCAAAAGGGATCAGAAAATACAATTGCAAGTATATGAACATAGCAAAAACATAATCAGGTCACAGACTTAGTGAAAACTGGCACATGCTGAAACATAACTCAAGTAAGCATGTTTACGAGCTCGATGCACTCACCGCAGTGCAAGTCATGACAAGCTAAGCATACACCCATTAAGAAGGCACAAAATGCAAGCTAGACATGGTAAGAACAGTAGCATAGCATGCACGGATCAACTACAACATCATCGGCAAAATTGCAAACAAGTTGACAATCTGCCCAGATTCACAAAGTAGCAAAAATAGAGCTCGATTAACTCAAGTTGGGTGCTCCATAATTGCAAACAAAAACATGGATGAATAAAGCACTACAATATTAACAAAACATCCTTACTGATCATCCTCAAAAGAGGCACGGATCACTAGGAAACAACATGAACATATAACAACATGAGATAAACAGCTCAAGGACTTAGTGGAATTGCTAAGTCCCTGAAAACAGAATTAACAAGTGCACCACTTTGCAAGCTTGTGCTAGTCACCACACATATCACAAAAATACATGGTTGCACCTTTGGAAAGATGGCAAAACCCTTAACAAAACATATGTAGAGCATCAGGACATAACATGCATACATTAATCATGGCAAAAATGACAAAAACCTAAATGGAGCAGCAGATCTGACAATTAATTCAAGTAGCCCTCTTCTAACAGCATTTCGGGCATCAAGATGAACTCAAATGAAAATGATGCAATGGAATGAAATGATGTACTCTCTGAGATGAACATTTTGATATGCTATATACATGAATCGGAGCTACGGATGCAAAGTTACGAGGCTATGAACATGAGCACTTGAACTGCAGACTTAGGAAAAATTGAGAGGTCAACCCCTAAGGTTCGTCCCAGATCTGGATCGGCACGCGAACCGAGGATCGCCGGAGGAGCACTGTAGCTGGCCGGAGCTCGTCGCGGACGTCGCCGGAGTGGAGAGGAGACCGGAGCCGGGGCCGGATCCGGCGTGGGGGGAGGCGGCGAGCGGCGCGGACGCCGAGGCGGCGCGGTGCCGGCACGGACCGGCCGGGCAGCATGCGGCGAAGCTGCGGCGGCGCGGCGCCGGCGGGGATGTGGTCTGGGTGGCGCCACGTGGCAGCTCCCGGTTGGGGCGGCGGCTATGTCCGGCCAGCGCGGGGACGAATTTTAGGGTTTCGGGGGAGAAGGAGATCCGAATTTCGGGGGGTCTATTTATAGGCATAGAGGGAGCTAGAAGAGTCCAAATGAGATGCGGTTTTCGGCCACGCGATCGTGATTGAACGCTCTAGATGATGGAGAGGGTTTTGATGGGTTTTGGGCCAAATTGAAGGGGTGTTGGGCTGCAACACACAGGAGACCTTTTCAGTCCCTCAGTTAACCGTTGGAGTATTAAACGAAGTCCAAATGATACAAAACTTGACAGGCGGTCTACCGGTAGTAAACCAAAGCCGCTTGGCAAGTCTCGGTCCAATCCGGAAATGTTTAATCCCCACACACGAAAGAAAGGTAGAAATGACCATCGGAGAAGAACAAAGCGCTAGAATGCAAAACGGACAACGGGGAAAATGCTCGAATGCATGAGATGAACACGTATGCAAATGCAATGCACATGATGACATGATATGAGATGCATGACAACGATAACAACACACGGAAACAAAAACCCGAACCCGAGAAAATAAATAACTTAACGCCGGAAACGATAAGAGTTGAAGTACAAATTGGGAAAGGTACATCCGAGGTGTTACAGCTACTTCCCACTAGCCTAAGGCCCCGTTCGGTTCGTAGGTTTTGTACAGGAATTTTGGAGGAACACTATTCACACAGGTTTACTTTCCCCTGTAGCGTTTGGAATGCAGGAATACATACATTAATCCAGAGGAAACTAGCTCCTTCGATGCCGATTCCATAGGAATTCGAATTCTAACATCCGCGTAGAGCTCATTTTTCCCGCGAAGACCGAGGCGAGGCGCTCCGGCAATCACTGTTAGAATCAGTAGGATTAAAAAAACCAGATGCGTAACGTGTGAGGTGAGAGTGTTGGAGGTAAAGCTGCCTTGTTTAACCCGTGTAGCTAATTTTAAAAATCCTGTAGGCTACTGTTCATGCAGTGCTTTCCTATGGTCACCCGAACGCCCATTCTGACAACTTTCTTGTGTTCTTTACTTCCAGCGTTTCACGCCTACATTCCTTCTCCATTCCTATGTTTTCTCTCATTCCTGTGTTTCGTATTCCCACGAACCGAACGGGGCCTAATTTTACAAAATAAACGTATAATAAGAATTGACCCATCATCTAATAGTGTTTCCTTCTCATTGACTCTTCAAAAACAAATTAACTTGGCACTTACATAGTCCTGATGCGATTGGCAATCTTATTTAACTGTTTTGAACTACTTCAATGATAACGAGCTTGGAACAACTCATTAAGGACCACAGATTAGTGTGCCTTATCCACATACTCAATGAGGTAGCAATGGAAGCAGCTTCAATAACAATGAGGCAGAGTAGTCTATAAGAAACTACTCACTTCCAAACTCAAGGTCAAGAAATAAGTACCACGACAAAGGTGTTACTGAATCGAGAAAACTAGCATATCATAAGTTGTGGAAGCTACTCACTTCCAAAACACGAAGCCAAGAAATATGTACCACAACTTCATAACATTGTACGTAGCATTAGTTTAAAACTCACCTCTATCCGTTTGGTAAGTTTACCATCTGTTATAATACAAGCAATCTCCAGTATGCGGTCTTTTCTGATATCCAAACCTAAACAATCAGAAACCAGCATCCGGCATGTTAGTCAGAGTGTTGACATTGTGTAAAATTGATAATACGAGTTCCGACAGAAGCAACAGAATTTCAGTTTGACATACCACACATCAGTTAGAGGAGAACAATAACAAGAAATGAAGTGAAATGCCCACAAGGCGCAGTTCACATCAGAAAACAGCAAAAGAAGATTATTCTTGACATATGATACCAAGGAAATCAGTAATGGGTCGTACATTGCTTCGGGCAGAGTAGATATCATGCACTGTAAATGACTTCCAACCAACTGTTCTCATGCATCTTTTTTCATTTTAACGTAGTAAACTATAAGTTGCAAAACTTGAACAAAAGAACATGTTGAACAAATTAGAAACCGCAAAGGTTTACTTGTTGTGTTTGCATCAGTCTTGGTTGAATGGCAGATGTTAGTACTCAGTAAACTGGCCTTACTAACTTATTAAACTGGTAACACATAGCCCTGGCTTATATAGAATATCGGGGCCCTAGGTTTTACAAGATCCTTGTCAGGTACGTCGGCGGAGGGGTCCTCCTGGACTCCGGCTTCCTTGTCTTGTACGTCAAGGCTTCCGAGTCTTCCTTCTATAGGACCCGTGGGCCAGGATGATGGCCCAGGGCGTAAACCAACCTACGGGGCCTCGGGCTGGCCTACTTGGGCCAACTTCCAGTGAAGTGGGGCACTCCTGGGCTGTAACACCGCCAGTAACCCCTGAACCGGTCTCCGAGCTTGGTTGCTTAGTGGACAGGGTCAATCTTGAATGTCGTCTTCTTGAAGCTCATCGAGATCGGAACTCGTTCTCCGACCTAGCCAACCTCCCATGGCCAGCAAGCTCCATGAAGTCGGCTCATCCATTGGGAGGACGACCACCTCTGGTCGTGATTTGCTGATGAAGATAGTCGACCTCCCTGGAAATGTTTTCGCGCCAAGCCAGCTCCCGCGAGCTGATTTCCCACCGAACACTTTGTATAACTTCAAATGACGTACAGCCCAACCAGGGACCAAGCCAGACTTCGGACCTCACCAAGAAGTCCGACTCCAAATATCTCGACGGACTCTGGCTGAATCAAACAAGTGGCAAGAAGGTTGGTTCTATATCCTGGATGTTAAAGTTCAGGGTACCTCTTTGGATCGGTCTCGTCGAAGCCTTTAGCATGGCGCCTAGTGCGTCAAGCACACGCCGGCTAACACGAAGGAAGTAACCCGGCCCCACAAGGCAGTGTGGAGCCTCACCTTGCAGGGGTTGAACATGGTCGGGGTGATGATGGTAGTCCTGGAGCAGGGCATCCAGCCTCTTAAGGCCAGGGCTCATCCAATGTCCCTATATCATGGGTTAGCTGCTCGTCTCGACAACCGACTTTGAATGTTGTTATGGCCTCAGCGTCGGTGATGTCTATGACGTCATTCTTTTCCTTTAGCCATCAAGCAAGGTACAGGCGAACCAGCTCACCGTCTTCCTGGATAATACTATTAAGGTCATTCGCCTCGCCAGCCTCTGGTAGGTACCTCGGAAGTTGACGATGAACTCCTCCTGCATGTCGTTCCAGACATAGATCTACTTGGACGGCAAAGTATTTAACCAGGGCCGGGCCGATCCTTTTAGCGTGATTGACAGGTACTTGATGGAATGGAAATAAAATCCCCATTGGCTAGCTGAACCACGGTGATGTAATCAGTCAACCACAGCTCTGGGTTCTGCTCTCCTTTATATTTATCAATGAGGCACAAATGAAAGTTTTTCAGGAACTTGTAATTGACAATATCATCCGCGAAGCACGTGGGTTATAGAGGTTGCAAGCCGATATCACTCCAAAATGCAGTGACGACCTCACGTTTGTCGTCTCTGCCGATGGCACGGCCATACTCGTTGAAGAGTTGTCGGCCTGGCCGCCTGGCATTCTCGCTAAGCCACGCCAAGCGCTGCCTCTCGGTTTCTCCAGGAGGCTGGCAGATTTGCGCATTGAAGCGAGAGGTCGTCCTCTGATTTACCAGTTGGCGGTTGTTGTGGCTGTGGATCAGCTGATCCGGTCTATGCGGGAAGATCGCATGATTCTTCACCCTGGATGTCGAACTTGCAGTATTGTTGTGAATATCGCTAGTGGTGCCCGTCGTGCTCTTAGATCTAGAATAGACGTTTTGCTGAACCACTGTCGTCTTCAGGAGTTCCACCACCTGCTCAAACCTCTCCCAATCTAGGTGGTTGGCGGGAAGTGTGATGTTTCGGAGCTCTCCAACCCCCGCCTGCGTGTTCTTAGCCAGCGTGCGGAAGGCGAGAAGCTCGGGAGATGCCGAGGCGTTGAGGGCGTTGTTCAATGCCCGGCTCTAGAGCGCCAACCCGGCTGCGTTTGTCCGTTCTCCTCTAAGCATCTCTGCGGATTATCACAGGTAGTTTTGCCGCCGATACATACGCTCTTTCTCCTCCTTCTGCTTCTTGAGGGCTGCCTGGAGCTTCTTTCTCCACTCCTCAAGCTTGACGCTGGCGGGGTTGTTAACCGTGATTGGCGTGTTGACCCAGTCATCATCGATCTCATCCTCTTCCTCGGCCACGACGTCGTGGGCACGGGAGTTCACCATGTAGCAGGCATAAGTGGAGGTTGTCTGCCACGAGCGAAAAGGCGGTGCAGATGGGATTGCTTCCGGGCAGCTCTTAGCTGAGTCGCCCATCTCCTTGTCGAGGTCTTCAAGCTCCTCGGTGTCGCCGAGTTCTTCGATGACGGTGTGGAGCGTGTCGATGTTGGCGACGGTGTGGGAGGTGGGTGGGTTGAAAATTTGTGCTGGCCACGCCAGGCACGATGCCAAGCCCTGGAGAATGAGCTTGTCGCAAGAATCGATGACGGACTCTAGGTTGCCGACATGGACGACTCGGCCTGCAGCGAAGGTCTCGACTTGGCCAAGGTGGCCTGTCGAGTCGGCGACGTAGCACATCGCGCCGAGAGCAAAGATCTGCCCCGCTGTGAAGATGTTGCCGTCAATCGAAGATCCCATCTGGTCTCTGAGTTCGCCCTGCGGGACCTGTATGGGCCACCACTATCGAAGTTATTTCCGGCAGATCCCTCGATAGGGTATCCTGGCTAGGCGAGTAGATCGGATGGGAAATAGGGGACGAGTTTACCCGGGTTTAGGCCCTCATGATAGAGGTAAAACCCTACTCCTGCTCATGTTGCGTTATTGTGATTGGGCGTACAAAGTACAAGGATGATCAAGGGATTGAGTTCTTTAATACTAGCCCTGCCTCGGCTTATAGAATATTGGGGCCGTAGGGTTTACAATATCCTAGTCGGCTATGTCGATGAAGGGGTCCTCCTGGACTCCGGCTCCTTGTCTTGCACATCAAGGCTTCCGAGTCTTCCTTCTATAGGGCTTGTGGGCCAGGATGATGGGCCAGGGCGTAAACCGGCCTAGGGAGCCTCGGGCCGGCCTACTTGGGCCGGCTTCTAGTTAAGTGAAGCACCCCTGGGCCATAACACTTCTGTTCACACACATGTGCAGAATAATTGGTCTGAACATTGATTGAAGTTGAGGACTAAATTGCATTAAGCCTATTAAATTAAACATTTCAATATAATATGGAACATACAATATACAATATGAAGGAAGACAGTCTCACCGGTCATTTCCAAGTCAATCCACACCAATGGCATCTTGTATTCACTTGACGATGAACCAAGTTTATCCCCATCGTAATTTACAATCATTTTGTTATTCATCATGCCACTATCTGCAAGGATGTGATTTTTGAATCTCATAAGAAGAAATGAGAATAATTAAAACGTAATAAAAGGGAAAAATTATAGCATTTAGTTCTCTTTTAAAGTAATAACAAGGCAGAACTTAAGTTATAATGCCACTGCATCGTTCAATTATTTATCATGTAGGGGCAAGATGAAGATGGAGTTACTTGATTCCATCCATGATCCAAGAGAAAAAATGGGCGTTCCTGAATCCTGATTGTGAAGAGATATGCACTAGTTGTCCATTATGTCGCTTTGCCTGGTAGGTTCATTTGGATACTGAATGATACAACTTTGTGCACACTACACAAAATGATTCCTCCTAAAGATTTAGTGTATTCGGAGCATCACGAACATGATTTAGTGAAGTGATCAGGTTTTAACACAAAAGAAATACTTGATACACATGCTGCACATGCAAATGGCAAGAAGGCTCAGAACTCATGCTCCAACCAAGCAAACAGCTTTAATATATTTTGTTAAATCGGTGAGTTGGAATATTCCGTTGAGTTTTTTTCAAGTACTAAAGGTTAGTGGTGCAGGACCGGACCTGATTTCTATGGAAAAAGAATCAAAACATTATACCTAACACATTATTGTTACACTACTACATTTTGATCCAGGAGTAAGGGCGCATTCAACAATGTCCTGCCAAACCTCGCGATGAGTAAAGCAAATCTTATACCACGGACTAACAGGAGCACACAATCCCAATCCATCCTGTGAGGAAGCGAAAGAAAAAGTGCGCCCTTACCGGGTTTCCTGGGGGCGGCGGCGGCAGCAGCTTCTGGCTTGCTGGATGTCGGTTGTTCCACTTCCTTTCGATCGTCCTCGCCATCCAGGTCAAGGACAGCAAACATGTTGGCAAGATTAGCCATCCTCTCCCAAATCTCCCCAGATTCAAGATAAACCCGCGTAAAACCTGCGGCGTTCCGGTGCTGATCAACTAAACAGAAATTTCTTGGTGGAATTGGGGAAAGAACATGCCAGGTTCGACAGCCGACAACTAGTATGGATAGAGCAACTGAAGCTTCAAGGATGGTTCACTTCTTAGCAAATCCCTGACTGGATTGGGAGGTGGTCTACACGTACCGCGGCGGTTGCTTCGGATCTATGGGCCCCGCCGCCGCCGCAGTGGCCGCCGCCGTAGTTGGAGGAAGAATTGATTATAAGACCTAATTTCTACACAACGGGATGCAAGCGGCGTACGGAAGGGCAAAAAGACGATGATTCCCGGTATTTGGGCGCAAGTAGACAACATATCTATTTTTCTTACGTTGATGTGCTAAAATCTTACTGTTATTTGGCACAAAGAGTAAGTTCTTGTAGCAATCATCATGATTTACCTGTCATCTTATTGATAAATATACTTATTACTCTCTTCATTCCTAAATATTTGTCTTTTTAGAGATTTCAAATAGTCACCACGTACGGATGTATATAGACATATTTTAGAGTGTAGATTCATTTATTTTACTTCGTATATAGTCACCATTTAAAACCTCTAAAAAGACAAATATTTAGGAACGAAGGAAGTACTTGATATGAACTCATTTAGCAAGTTTTCTTACACAATCACCATGATTTATTTGACATCTTATTGTTAACCACTTATTTAGTTTCACCTAATGACTTACCCAAAAAGCTATTGTTTTTTTTGTAAGTTATTAATAAGACATAGAACAGTAAGGTTGATTTTAATCAATAAAAGAAAATACAAAGAAGGAAGGAAAAGAGAAAAGGAAGGAGGGAATGTACATAGTGACGAGAAAGGAAGCATAAAAATAAAAAAAATCCTACGAAAACCAAAATCTAATCTAGGGGATGTATAGCAATAAGAGGGGAGTGTGTCTACAATACCCTTGTAGATCAAAAGTGTTGGCGTCATAACGCGGTTGATCTAGTCATACTCTTCACAATCCAATCGCGATCCAATCCCATCTAGTGCCGAACTGATGGCACCTCCGAGATTTGCACATGTTCAGCTCGATGGCGTCCTCTCCTTGATCCAGCAAGCGAGAGAAAGGAGGTATATGAGATCGGAATCAGCACGACGGTATGGTGGTGGTGGCAACAGCGGAATTCGGGCAAGGCTTCACCAAGCGCGTACCGGAGGAGAGGTGGGAGAAGTTGGGAGCGACATAGGGCAAGAGTGGAGGCGTCTGGGTGCCCTTCCACCTCCCCACTGTATATAGGGGTGAGGGGGGGCGCCGGCCCTTGGCCCCTCCTCCAAGGGGGCGGCACCCCTGGGGGGTGGCTTGCCCCCCAAGTCAAGGGGGCGCCCCATCTAGGGTTTCCCCTTAGCCCTAGGCGCGCATGGGCCTCTTCGGGGGCTGGTGCGTGTGGCCCAACTAGTCCAGACCGCCCCCTTTACAGCTCATGTGTGGTCCCCGGGGCTGGTGGACCCCGGAACCCTTCGGTGCCTCCGGTACACTTATCGTCATTGCCCCCAAACTTTTTCGATGGCCAAAATAGGACTTCCCATATATAAATCTTTACCTCCGGACCATTCCAGAGCTCTTCGTGATATCTCGGATCCCATCCGGGACTTCGAACTGTTGGGGAACGTAGTAATTTCAAAAAAAATCCTATGCACATGCAAGATCATGGTGATGCATAGCAACGAGAGGGAAGAGTGTTTGTCCATGTACCCTCGTAGACCGTAAGCGGAAGCGTTATGACAACACGGTTGATGTAGTCATACGTCTTCACGATCGACCGATCCTAGCACCGAAGGTACGGCACCTCCGCGATCTGCACACGTTCGGCTCGGTGACGTCCCACAAACTCACGATCCAGCAGAGTGTCGAGGGAGAGTTTCGTCAGCAAGACGGCGTGATGAGGGTGATGATGATGCTACCAGAACAAGGCTTCGCCTAAGCACCGCTACGATATGATCGAGGTGGATTATGATGGAGGGGGCACCACACATGGCTAAGAGATCAATGATCAACTTGTGTGTCTATGGGGTGCCCCCTGGCCACGTATATAAAGGATGGAGGGAGGAGGAGGCCGACCCTTATAGGGCGCGCCCAAAGTGTGGAGTCCTACTAGGACTCCCTAGTCCTAGTAGGATTCCACCTCCTTCATGGAATAGGAAAAAGGGAAGGGAGAAGGAGAAGGAAGGAAGGGGGCGCCCCCTTTCCCTAGTCCAATTCGGACCAGTCCATGGGGAAGGGGTGCGGCCACCCTTGAGGCCTTTCTCTCCTTTCACGTATGGCCCATTAAGGCCCAATATGAATTCCCGTAACTCTCCGGTACTCCGAAAAATACCCGAATCACTCGGAACCTTTCTGATGTCCGAATATAGCCTTCCAATATATCGATCTTTACGTCTCGACCATTTCGAGACTCCTCATCATGTCCCTGACCTCATCCGGGACTCCGAACAAACTTCGCTCATCAAATCACATAACTCATAATACAAATCGTCACAGAACGTTAAGCGTACGGACCCTACGGGTTCGAGAACTATGTAGACATGACCCGGACTCATCTCCGGTCAATAACCAATAGCAGAACCTGGATGCTCATATTGGCTCCTACATATTCTACGAAGATCTTTATCGGTCAAACCGCATAACAACATACGTTGTTCCCTTTGTCATCGGTATGTTACTTGCCCGAGATTCAATCGTCGGTATCCTCATACCTAGTTCAATCTCATTACCGGAAAGTCTCTTTACTCGTTCCGTAATGCATCATCCCGCAACTAACTCATTAGTCACAATGCTTGCAAGGCTTATAGTGATGTACATTACCGAGAGGGCCCAAAGATACCTCTCCGATACATGGAGTGACAAATCATAATCTTGATCTATGCCAACTCAACAAACACCATCGGAGACACCTGTAGAGCATCTTTATAATCGCCCAATTACGTTGTGACGTTTGATAGCACACAAGGTGTTCCTCCGGTATTCGGGAGTTGCATAATCTCATAGTTTGAGGAACATGTATAAGTCATGAAGAAAGCAGTATCAATGAAACTGTAACGACCATCGTGCTAAGCTAACGGATGGGTCAAGTCAATCACATCATTCTCTAATGATGTGATCCCGATTATCAAATGACAACTCTTTGTCCATGGCTATGAAACTTAACCATCTTTGATTTACGAGCTAGTCAAGTAGAGGCATACTAGTGACACTCTATTTGTCTATGTATTCACACATGTACTAAGTTTCCAGTTAATACAATTCTAGCATGAATAGTAAACATGTATCATGATATAAGGAAATATAAATAACAACTTTATTATTGCCTCTAGGGCATATTTCCTTCACTCTCCCACTTGCACTAGAGTCAATAATCTAGTTCACATCGTCATGTGATTTAACACTAATAGTTCACATCTTTATGTGATTAGTTCACATCTCCATGTGACTAACACCCAAAGGGTTTACTAGAGTTGATAATCTAGTTCACATCGCTATGTGATTAACACCCAAAGAGTGATCATGTTTTGCTTGTGAGAGAAATTTAGTCAACGGCTCTGCCACATTCAGAGCCGTATGTATTTTACAAATTTTCTATGTCTATAATGCTTTGCACGGAGCTACTCTAGCTAGTTGCTCCCACTTTCAATATGTATCGATCGAGACGTAGAGTCATCCAGATCGGTGTCAAAGCTTGCATCGACGTAAATCTTTACGACGAACTCTTTGTCACCTCCATAACCGAGAAACATTTCCTTATTCCACTAAGGATATTTTTGACCGTTGTCCAGCGATCCACTCCTGGATCACTATTGTACCCTCTTGCCAAACTTATGGTGAGGTACACAATAGGTCTGGTACACAACATAGCATACTTTGTAGAACCTATGATTGAGGCATAGGGAATGACTTTTCATTCTCTTTCTTTTTTCTGCCGTGTCGGGTTTTGAGTCTCTACTCAACTTCACACCTTGCAATACAGGCAAGAACTCCTTCTTTGACTGTTCCATTTTGAACTACTTCAAAATCTTGTCAAGGTATGTACTCATTGAAAATATATCAAACGTCTTGATCTATCTCTATAGATCTTGATGCTCAATATGTAAGTAGCTTCAGTGAGGTCTTTCTTTGAAAAACTCCTTTCAAACATTCCTTTATGCTTTCCAGAAAATTCTACATTATTTTCGATCAACAATATGCCATTCACATATACTTATCAGAAATGTTGTAGTGCTCCCACTCACTTTCTTGTAAATACAGGCTTCACCGCAAGTCTGTATAAAACCATATGCTTTGATCACTTTATCAAAGCATATATTCCAACTCCGAGATGCTTGCACCAGTCCATAGATGGATCACTGGAGCTTGCTCACTTTGTTAGCACCTTTAGGATTGACAAAACCTTCTGGTTGCATCATATACAATTCTTCTTTAAGAAATCCATGAAGGAATGCAATTTTGACACCCATTTGCCAAATTTCATAAAATGTGGCAACTGCTAACATGATTCAGACAGACTTTTAAGCATCTATACGAGTGAGAAAATCTCATCGTAGTCAACACCTTGATCTTGTTGAAAACATTTTGCGACAATTCGAGCTTTGTAGATAGTAACACTACTATCAGTGTCCGTCTTCAGCTTGAAGATCCATTTATTCTTAATGACTCACCGATTATCAGGCAAGTCAATCAAAGTCCATACTTTGTTCTCATACATGGATCCCATCTCAGATTTCATGGCCTCAAGCCATTTTGCGGAATCTGGGCTCATCATCGCTTCCTCATAGTTCGTAGGTTCGTCATGGTCTAGTAACATGACTTTTAGAACAGGATTACCGTACCACTCTGGTGCAGACCGTACTCTGGTTGACCTATGAGGTTCGGTAGTAACTTGCTCTCAAGTTTCATGATCATCATCATTAGCTTCCTCACAAATTGGT